AAATGGTTTGTTTGCTAACCTAGTTTTTATTGATTTAATTTAAAACCTATGTTTGAAAATACTTAAGAATACTATGTTTGTCTTTAGCTTTTAATAAAAAACTAGGTAGTTTAAGTAATCCTATACTTCTTAAATGGAAGTATTTTGATTTTCTTGTATACAACTTTCAGATGATTTAGGAGTTAAGTAAAACATGAAGCTCTGTCCATAAAATAAATTATATTAGAACTCTAAGTTCTAAGTAGAGATGTATTTTTAGAAAAGAAAACCATACATTTTGCTGGGGAATACATTTTTTTATTCCAGAGTTTATTTCCAGTTAACTGTATGGAGCCTGTACTGTAGAGCAGTGCTGTCCAGTAGAACTTCCTACGGTGAGGAAAATGTTTAGTATCTGCACTGTCCAATGTTGTAGCCACTAGCCACATGTGGAAATGAGCACTTGAAATACGGAGAGTGGCTGGAGAACTGAATTTCAAATTCTGTTTGATTTTAATTGATTTACAGCGTGAGTAGCCACATGTGGCTGGTGCAGTGGTTTTCAGCTGGTTGTGATTTTGCCTCCAGGGGGCATTTGGTGATGGCCAGAATAATTTTTGTTTTTCAAAGCTGGGGAGATACTACTGGCATTTGCTGTATAAAAGGCAGGGATGCTGTGTTTAAACTTTGTATAGTGCGCAGGATGGTATCTCCCTCCTCCCCACCCAGAGAATTGTCATGCCCAAAATGTCTGCTCCTGAGGTTGAGAAATCCTGGCTGGTGGTTTTTGTATTGGCAGGTATTAGAACAGAATATACAGATGTTATCATCATGTTTATTTATAAATTAATTTTGACTGATACTAATAAAGAGATGAAAAACCTAGTCTAAGTTGTGGTAGTTAACCGTTTTTGTGTTTGAAAGTTTGATGAGGTTAATTAGAGCATGAAGTGAAATCTGTGAATCTTGTCCATTTTGTCAGTTGCTTTATAGGAGGAAGAGTTCGTTTATGTTCCCACTTAAATATTTGTATTGAATATTATATGAAATCATGTCACCAGTATTTCTTAACGGCTGTGAAATGGGATGAAAACTAATTCAAAATGTTCTCAGGTACATACTGAACTGTTATGATTAGGTGATAGGTTGTTTTGAAGTTGATAGTGGTTGAATCTGGGTAATGAGTACGTGGAGAGTACTTCTGTTGTGCTCTCTACCTTTGTGTTTGAATTTTTCTTTAATAAATAAAGTAGAAAAAAAAAGTCCTTAGACATAGGCATACCTAATAATTATAGAATATGGAATGTGACCGGTGAATTATTTTATCACAGAGCTAGTCTTCATTTTGTATGCATTTTATTTAATCTCCCACAGTTGCCAAGTTGCATTAATATGTTCCACTTAACAAAATAGTGTCACATCACTAAAAAAAAGTCATTGCATCTACAATGCTGACATTCTTTTACTCTTACAGATTTTCCTGGGTAACATAATGCCAGCTGAGCGTAAAAAGCCAGCAAGTATGGAAGAAAAAGAATCTTTACTAAACAACAAGGAAAAAGACTGCAGTGAAAGGCGGCCAGTGAGCAGCAGAGAGAAACCAAAAGACGAGATCAAACTTACCACCAAGAAGGAGGTTATTAAGGTCCCTGAAGATAAGAAGAAGAAACTGGAAGAAGATAAGAGAAAAAAAGATGACAAGGAACGAAAGAAAAAAGAAGAAGAAAAGGTGAAGGCAGAGGAGGAATTAAAGAAAAAAGAGGAAGAAGAGAAAAAGAAACACGAGGAAGAAGAGAGAAAGAAGCAAGAAGAGCAGGTGAAACGTCAGCAGGAAGAGGAGGCTGCCCAGTTGAAGTAAGAACGTTTATTTTAATTACTGATGTGCGGGAATGGGAAGATATGAATGTTTTGGAAAAACGGTGATTATTTGAAATAAAACTTCCAGGGTGCAGTTTCTTTCTTTTTTTTTTTTTTAAATAATTTTTGTTTGTTTGTTTGTTTGCAGGGGGGGAGGTAATTAGGTTTATTTTTATTTTTTTACGTTAGTTAGTAAGGTAGTAGGTATTAGTACGTACGTACGTAGT